TTAAGTATGTTCAAGGCAAGGGTTGATAGAGTTTTGAACTCCAGCCGAATGAAGGAACATTGGTATGCGAAAGGGAACTGGAGCTCGACCATCAGCCCTTTGGCCTATTTGAGCATACTGTGGCTGTAAGAGGTGTATTTTGTCCTTGTCTTTTTTTATGGAGAAAGGTTGAGACAGGCTCTGAGCGGTCTGCCTGAAGCCAATATGAGGCCCTGGGGACTTTTTTTTAAAGTTAGAACAATAGAAGCAGCTGGAATGGGTGGGGTCAACCTCCCACAGAACCAGGATTTTCAGTACTAGCTTTCAGCAGTTGCTGCTGGGATCCTCTCTTATTCCTCTCTCTGTTACAGCTAAAAGCTGGGGTTCTTTTTCTGCTGCTGGAATTGCATGTGAGACAATCTGTTTTACAGAAGTCGTGGGAACTGCAGATGATGGAGAATCTGAGATAACAAGGTGTAGAGCTGGATGAACACAGCAGGCCAAGCAGCATCAGAGGAGCAGGAAGGCTGATGTTTTGGGTCTGGACCCTTCTTCAGAAATGGGGGAGGGGAAGGGGGTTCTGAAATAAATAGGGAGAGAGGGGGAGGCAGATAGAAGATGGATAGAGGAGAAGATATGTGGAGAGGAGACAGACAGGTCAAAGAGGCGGGGATAGAGCCAGTAAAGGTGAGTGTAGGTGGGGAGGTAGGGAGGAGATAGGTCAGTCCAGGGAGGATGGACAGGTCAAGGGGGCAGGATGAGGTTAGTAGGTAGGAGGTGGGTGTGGGGCTTGAGGTGGGAGGAGGGGATAGGTGGGAGGGAGAACAGGTTAGGGAGACGGGGACGAGCTGGGCTGGTTTTGGGATGCGTTAGGGGGAGGGGAGATTTTGAAGCTTGTGAAGTCCACATTGATACCATTGGGCTGCAGGGTTCCCAAGTGAAATATGAGTTGCAGTTCCTGCAACCTTCGGGTGGCATCGTTGTGGCACTGCAGGAGGCCCAGGATGGACATGTCATCCAAGGAGTGGGAAGGGGAGTTGAAATGGTTCGCGACTGGGAGGTGCAGTTGTCTATTGCGAACCGAGCGTAGGTGTTCCACAAAGCGGTCCCCAAGCCTCCGCTTGGTTTCCCCGATGTAGAGGAGGCCACACCGGGTACAGCGGATACAGTATACCATATTAGCAGATGTGCAAGTGAACATCTGTTTGATGTGGAAGGTCTTCTTCGGACCTGGGATAGGGGTGAGGGAGGAGGTATGGGGGCAGGTGGAGCACTTCCTGCAGTTGCAGGGAAAAGTGCCGGGTATGGTGCAGCTGGAGGGGCGTGTGGAGCAGACAAGGGAGTCCCGGAGAGAGTGGTCCCTCCGGAAAGCAGATAAGGGTGGGGAGGGAAAAATGTCTTTGGTGGTGGGGTCAGATTGCAGGTGGCGGAAGTGCCTGAGGATGATGCGTTGGATCCGGAGGTTGGTGGGGTGGTATGTGAGGATGAGGGGGATTCTGTTTTGGTTGTTATTGCGGGGAGGGGGTGTGAGGGATAAGTTGCGGGAAATGCAGGAGACACGGTTGAGGACGTTTTCGACCACTGTGGAAGGGAAGTTGCGGTCCTTGCAAAACGAGGACATCTGAGATGTACGGGAGTGGAATGCCTCTTCCTGGGAGCAGATGCGGCGGAGGCAAAGGAATTGGGAATAGGGGATCGCATTTTTGCAGGAATGTGGGTGAGAGGAGGTGTATTCTAGGTAGCTGTGGGAGTCGATAGGCTTGAAATGGATATCGGTTTCCAGGTGGTTACCAGAGATGGAGACAGAGAGGTCCAGGAAGGAGAGAGAGGTATCGGAGATGGTCCAGGTGAACTTAAGGTTGGGGTGGAAGGTGTTGGGGAAGTGGATGGACTGTTCGAGCTCCTCTTGGGAGCATGAGGCGGTGCTGACACAGTCATCAATGTAACGGAGGAAGAGTTGGGGGATAGGGCCAGTGTAGGTACGGAAGAGGGGTTGTTCCACGTGACCTACAAAGAGGCAGGCATAGCTTGGGCCCATGCGGGTACCCATGGCCACCCACTTTGTCTGTAGGAAGTGGGAGGAATTGAAGGAGAATTTGTTGAGGGTGAGGACGAGTTCGGCTAAGCGGATGAGGGTGTCAGTGGAGGGGGACTGGTTGGGCCTGTGGGACAGGAAGAAGTGGAGGGCCTTTAGGCCATCTGCATGGGGAATGCAAGTGTTTAGGGACTGGACATCCATGGTAAAGATGAGGTGTTGGGGACCAGGGAATCAGAAGTTTTGGAGGAGGTGGAGGGCATGGGTGGTGCCACGGACGTAGGTGGGGAGTTCCTGGACCAAGGGGGAGAAAATGGAGTCGAGATAAGCGGAAGTGCCTTCTGGAGGGACCACTCTCTCTGGGACTCCTTTGTCTGCTCCACACTCCCCTCCAGCCCCACCACACCCGGCACTTTTCCCTGCAACCGCAGGAGGTGCTACACCTGCCCTACACCTCCTCCCTCACCCCCATCCCAGGCCCCAAGAAGACTTTCCACATCAAACAGATGTTCACCTGCACATCTGCCAATGTGGTATACTGCATCCGCTGTTCCCGTTGTGGTCTCCTCTACATCGGGGAAACCAAGTGAGGCTTGGAGACCGCTTTGTGGAACACCTGTGCTCGGTTCGCGACAAACAACTGCACCTCTCAGTCGCAAACCATTTCAAATCCCCTCCCACTCCTTGGACGACATGTCCATCCTGGGCCTCCTCCAGTGCCACAATGATGCCACCTGAAGGTTGCGGAAACAGCAACTCATATTCCGCTTGGGAACCCTGCAGCCCAATGGTATCAATGTGGATTTCACAAGCTTCAAAATCTCCCCTCCCCCTACCGCATCCCAAAACCAACCCACCTCGTCCCCGCCTCCCTAACCTGTCCTTCCTCCCACCTATCCCCCCCTCCCACCTCAAGCCCCCCCCCCCTCTCCTACCTACTAACCTCATCCCACCCCCTTGACCTGTCCGTCCTCCCTGGACTGACCTATCTCCTCACTACCTCCCCACCTACACTCACCTTTACTGGCTCCATCCCAGTCTCTTTGACCTGTCTCCTCTCCACCAATCTGCTCCTTTATCCATCTTCTATTCACCTCCCCCTCTCTCCCTATTTATTTCAGAATTCCCTTCCCCTCCCCCATTTCTGAAGAAGGGTCCAGACCCGAAACATCAGCCTTCCTGCTCCTCTGATGCTGCTTGGCCTCCTGTGTTCATCCAGCTCTATACCTTGTTATCTCTATTTTACAGAATTTGCCTTTGCCAAGGATGTGTGTATCGGGTGTTACTATATTGGAACAGTTACTGTTTAGCAGTTAAATTATCTATTACTCTGTTAAGTTTTCCAATAGAGTTTAGTTATTCCAATTCATTTGTTGTTGCATTTTAACTATAGTGTATGAATGAAGTGTGTTTTGCTTTGAACTGGTAGTTTGACCAATCAAATTGTATCCTAGCATTTGCCTTTAAAATATGAGAAGTTAGGGTCTACGCTATGTTCTTAATATGTTTTGAGGGGGTTTGGTCTGATCCCATTACACTACCCCAGTCCTATTTCTTGCTACAGAGTTACAGCTTTACAGAGTTGCCTGGGCAGTGCATCACTCAACAGGCAGTTTTTCTCCTTTAGGATCAGGAGAGTCTGGAAAAGGGTACAACCAAGGCATGTTGAGTGCAATAACTGAGGACAACACTCTCCCTGCAGCACTGAGGGTGTACTGCACAGTCTTTGGGATGAGCTATTATACAGAGGCTCTGTTTAACTTTGCAACTGGTTGCAAATGATCCAATGACACTGTTTGAAAAGGAGCAGGAGAATTCTCCATTATGTAGTAGTCAATTTGGAACACCACTTTAATGTCATAACATTAGATCATTTGGTCATTATTTGAGTCATATTTGTGGAGGTTTGCTGTGTGTAAATTAGCTGCTGAGTTGCCTATGTTACAAGAACAGGTACACTTTGAAAAACATTTAATCAGGTGTCGAGCGCTTTCAGGCATTCTGGTGATGTAAAAAACACAATATAAATCCATGTTTTCTGCTGCTGGGGAGTCTGAAAAATGGGTGTAAAACTGTAGAATCAGAGCCAGGTCATTCAGAAATTGGGAAGCACTTTCTTCACACAAAAGATGGTAGAACCTTCCAAACCCACAAACACTTCTATCTAGAAGGACAAGGGCAGCAGATACATGGGAACACCACCCCCTGCAAGTTCCCCTCCGAGCCATTCACCATCCTGACTTGGAAATATATCGCCATTCCTTCACCGTCGCTGGGTCAAAATTCCAGAATTCCCTCCCTTAAGGGCATTGCGGGTCAACCTACAGCAGGTGGACTGCAGCAGTTCAAGAAGGCAGCTCACCCCCACCTTCTCAAGGGTCAACTAGGGATGGGCAACAAATACTGGCCCAGCCAGCGACGCCCACATCCTGTGAATAAGTAAAACAAAGAATGTGCTATTCCCGCTAGAAGCAGCAGAGTCCTGCTTGATTAGATTCTATGATCAACATTAAGGTTACAGTGTGTTATGGAACCAAGGAAGATCAATTGAGCTCAGATACAGTTCAGGCATAATCTAATTGGAATGGCAGAAGAAGTCCGAGGAGATGAAGGATTATCAGGTGCTGGACAAACTCAGCAGGTCTGCCAGTCTCTGTGCAAAGAGAAACAGATTTAACATCTCGAGTCTAGTGACTCTTCTTCAGGAATGTAGAGTTGACGTTAAAATCAGGTCAGCCATGATCTTATTGATGGCAGAGCAGGTGTGAAAGGCTGAGTAGCCTGCTCTTGTTCCTCATTTGTATGTTCATATGCCCCTATTCCTACATTAATCTATTTGTGTATGTTTCAAGTCTGATGCAGCTGCAGATCAATAAGGATTTTCCACACCTCCCTGTATTAAACATCTGGGAATGAGAAGGCATTAAGAAATCTAACATATCAACGAGAGCATAATTCAATAAATAGTATCACTTTAATGGTAAAGTCATAATTTAGACAGACACAATGTGCATAATTTGGAAAAAAAAATTCAAATACAAGATGGAGAGACACATTAAAACCAGATATTAACAATTCATTCATCTGGTTACACCCAAATACTCAAACTCAAAAGTTAACACCTGAAAAAGACTGCAAAAAACTCTCCCCGTGGTTGTTTTCATCATTTTCTCATTTTGTTGTTGCTGTCACTGACTATTTACATTGTATGTTACATCAAAATGTACAGAATACAAAATATGTTTTACAGAAAACTGTTTCACACAAAAACACTTCCCCATGTCTCACTGAGATGTGTCAAAGATGGGCATTTTGGCAAAACAGTAGACTTGTGCTATACAGGCTCTAACTGTAGGGACTGGAACAAGGTCAGCGAGGTGGGCCTCACAGAATATGAGTTCCCTGATTGGGGCTGTTAACCTGGTCCAATCAGGGAGCCCTGGCTGACAAATATAAACAGGAATGTCAGAGATCCTGTTCACTCCAAGAGCTGGCTCTGAGGGAGCTGGTTAGTATCAAGGATGGGCAGTTTGGGTGAACAGTAGACTTGTGCTATACAGGCTGAAACAAACCCAACATTCAGTGAAGATGCCCCAATGAACAAGATGATTAAAAATTGGCAGTGGTCCACCTGTGGCTCATTAATCTCCGATGGAGAGCAGCTCCTAGTAATGATTATCACACAAAATAAAACACATCCCGTCTAGACAGAGAATTCTCAACAGTGTTTACAAAAATCCCAGCATAGTCAAGTAAAGTAAATGTTTACACCAAGTAATACATATATCAGAAATTCTCAACTCTTTACTGTGCAAGGCAAAACAAAACACATTTCTTTCTCTTGTTCTTTTGTTTCTCTATTTACAATTTCTCATGTTTGTGCAAAAACCCTTTCTAAACACAAAGAAATCAAATGAACTTGCTGCCCCCCCCCCTTCATTGGATTTGAGAGAAAACCCCAATGAAATGCACTCTTCACGCTCCCCCTCCCAGACAACACCCACCCCCCATCCCAGAGTGAGGTGCTTTTCCGTATGTTAACATGTGAAAGGCCAATTTTAATTCTAAACCTAAACTGAAGCAGAAATTGCTGGAGAACCTTGGCAGGTTTGGAGAGAACTAAAAATCAAAGTTTAAAGTCCAGTGACCCTTCTTCAGAACAGTTTCTGAATTTCTCCAGCACTTTCTGGTTTTGTTTCAGATTTCCAGCATCCATAATTCTTTATTTATTTTACCATTAACCTGCCTTAGGGGTTGGGGGGTGGGAGGAATTGGGTGTTGGCTATCTGAATCAGGTTGAAGAGTTTTGAAAGTCCATTTGCATTCTCGTGAATACAGAGTTGATGGGTCCAGGGAGGAGGTTGTGTGGGATTGGGGTTTGTCTGTAAAAAGAGTGCCAGGAGATGGGGGCTGACATTAAAACTGGCTCTCCTTCTCTTTGAAAGAGATTCAGCTTTGCATATAGGTAGTAAAAACATGCTGAAAGTTTATACAAGAAAAAATTTTGTGCTCATGCCCTTCTGCCAAGTGCCCCCAGCTCTGCTGGGTTAGATTCAGTGGAGAACCACTTTATGCACCTACCAATTGTTATCTTTCAGTCATTTCACTGAAGCTATGACTTGTAAATACTATTAAAAAAGAAAAGGTAGGAGCAGACAGAGGGAGGGAGGGAGAGACAGTGAATAGGAATGGGTTTTATGATAAGTATTTGCTTGTTGAAGATAATTCAAATTTCCCTTTTAGGTGCAGAGTAAAACGCAGCCCCTGACTGTGGGAGAATAAGTAGGAACTACTGTAGGTCTAACCAGTGTGAAATTATCAAACCTACTCCATTTCACGTCCTCCAAACTCCATAAACAAAGAGTTGCAAGATACAAATATTTGCAGACAAAATTAAATGGCTTTATTTAAGTCCTGTAACCTGTTGAGAATAAGGCAAGTGATTCAGCACCATAATGAACGTTATTCCCACTTGGACACTGAAAGACTTTCCACAACCTCTATTGATGTAGCCCTTCACAAGCCAAGGTTATCACTTGTACCAGTAGTGGAGGTTTAAGTAAGTCTGGTGACTGAGAGACCTTTTCTTCAAGTTAAAAGACTTGAAATTTAAATTAAAAAAAAACTACAACGTACAGCAGTAGAAATCCATTAAATGAAGCCTTTTAGAAAGAAAAAAAATGCTTCGACCAGCAGCACCAGGAAAAGCTGAGCTGTGTGTCCAGCATGTTTTCAAAAGTTGACCCCACGGTGATTGCACACTGCATGCCCCCTCTCCCAACGTTGTGCTTATTGTGTGCAAAGCTGTTGGGATTGTGGGCAGTGGGTGTAAACCAAGGACTGTTTCTGGCTTTTTCAACCAGCACCAATACAACAGAGAGCTGAGGTTAGGACGGAGATGGACCTGCAACAGTCTAATCCACTCCTTGCAGCACCTCAATTAAAATTAAAATCAGGTTTACACATGTAAATACTTTGCAAAAATTCCAGTTTGGCTTGATTTCATGTGCAATTATTTTTTGTTTGTTTGTTTGTGTGTATATTTTATCTGTTATGTACAAGTCATGTTGATGAATCAAACTCAGTTGGTTCCCATTAGTGTGTCCTTCAACATGGCTGGCTCAAGCTAGCTGACCTCATGTTAAGAGTTCCCCGCCTGTGCACATGCTGTGGATCTTCACCACAGCACTGAGAGTCTTCATCCCTCACTGCGTGACTTCACACCCTCAACGGAGATCAGCATCTGCAGCAGCAACGAAAACTCACACACCCCCAGCACACTCTGAATTCACTTCACAGAGTCGACTCCAAGGATGAGTCTAAAATGTCATCATGGTGGCTGGCGCAGTCACTGTCACAGCTCTGTGCACTGGAGTAATTCGCTGCCTCTTGAAGCCTCATCAACATGTTCATCTAGGGAAGAATGGTACGTTAAGCATCAATTCATTGGATGTTCAAGAACCAACTAAGCAAAAAACCCAAAAAAAAACTGCATATGTTGGAAATCAGAAACAGAAACAAAAATTGCTGGAAAAGCTCAGCAGGTCTGGCAGCATCTGTGGAGAGAGAAACAGAGTTAACGTTATGGATCCAGGAACCCTTCCTCAGAACCTTTCTTCTGAGGGTCACTTGACCCGAAATGTTAACTTTGCTTTCTCTTCACAGATGCTTCCAGACCTACTGTAATGAATGAAGAAAAGTGATCAACTGATGATGCATTGAGCTTGACATAGACTCATAGAGGCCTACAGCTCAGAGAAACTCCCTTTGATCAACCCCCATCAAAAACAACTATTGTAATCGAAGGCAGTCAATATGTCATTGTCATGTACGAACTATCGTGGCACAGTATAGATATTTTCTGAGCAACCTTTTTAGAGATGTTATTGCACACCTCTGTGACTTGAACCTCAGTCTCCTGGCTCAGAAGCAGAGACATTACCCCTGTGCCACTAAAGTCCTGACAGTCAATGTGACAATCTGCATGACAAAATGGTCAACACCTATCAATTTAGGGCCATCTGGTGAGCGATGAAGAAGAGCTACAAAGGACTGTCCGCAGTGATTGAGGTACATCTCAGGCAGGCTGGGCATATATTTTGCTTCATGGACAAAGTGGCACAGGGCAGTACCAGGTAGCACACATGGTGATCTGCATTTAAGGAGGGACTTTCAAGAGTGGGACATCACCTGGGCTGGAGCGAAGGAGACTATAATGGACTGGGGCCAGTGAAAGCCAATGGACTGCCCACTGTCCTGCATGGAACCACAGGAACTATGTCCCAGTAAGTAAGGAGTCTGGAGGAACAGATTACATCTGACAAGCAGGAAAATATAACCTGGGTATCTAGATGTGGTCTTGTGCAGGATTTTGCTGGTTCCTTAAGCCTAATTTCAATATTTTTTCCCATAGATGGATAGATAGAACAGTGCAGAGATTTCTTCCTTCTTGGTAGGACTATACCCCAAAACAAATTAACTTCGCAGCAAATCAGCTGTAACATGGTAATTTTTTTTTTAAAATGGAGAATTACATTCAGTAGGTCAACAATAACAATTTATGTTGCACCCTTACTGCTGTAAAATGTCCCTGGAGTGCTTCACAGGAGTACTCTAAAACACAGTTTGATGCTGATCCATGTAAGGAGATATTGGGTGAGGCGACTAGAAGCTTGGTCACCCAGCCAGATTGTGCGGAGCATCCTACAGCAGGACAGCAAGGACATTGTCATTCCACTCTGTGAAGTGATTGGCAATAAGCGTCTCATGAGATAAGAACTGGAGAGAAACCATAAAGGGCTGAGGTTATGGAGAAATTTGAACACAAGGTTGAGGATTTTAAATTGTGGCTCTGTTTGCTTGGAAGCCCAGGTTGGTCAGTGAGAACAGGATTGATGTGTGAATAGGAGACAGTATGAACTTTGGATTTACGGACGGTTGAACACAATAGATATTCAGAATAGCCAAATCTAAGGATAACAAAGGTGGTACATGAATGTCTCCTCAGGAGATGAGCTGAGGAAGGGCCACAGTGTTACAGTTACAGAGGTAAAAATAGGTGGAATTAGGGAATGGTGCAGATACATGGTCCAAGGCTCATCTCAGGGCCAAATATTATGAGGTTTGGAAACAGCATGATTTAACCTGAAACAGTGACCAGGCAAGGAGGTAGTGGCTAAGGAAGAGAGTTCAAGATGGGAGACAGGAGAAAAGAGCCTCAGTCCTTTCCATATTTAACTGGAGGCAGTTTTTGCTCATCCAGCACTCTATCAGGTAAGTTAGCAGCTGTAGAGGAGCTGGAAGAGTTATTGGGGAGGCCCAGCTGGCTACCACTGGTTCATGTTAAAGTTATGAGTGTGCCCCTGTGTGATGTTACCATGGGGCAGCACGTGGAAGAGAAACGGGAGAGGACAGGGTCCAATGCTTATGGAACACCAGAGGTATCAGTGTGGGAAAAGGGAGAGAACCCATTGTAAACTATCAGGAGAGTGGAACATGGGGTCAGTGTTTCAGGTTAAGGATCTTTCAGCTGTAACACTAGGTAAGAAGCAGGAGGACAGTCAATTTTGTCATTTCGTCATTTAAACTCCCAACTGGGTGATATTAGCTTTGCAAATTTAACTTCAAAACCTGTTGCCTGTTGAAGGGCAATAGACATTCACATTGCAATGTTGTTTATAATGTTGTAAATGTCCATGCACTGGGTAGTGTAATCCTATGGGCCTTTCCTCTGAACACTCTGTTGCATATTCTCGTGAGCAGTTTAGTTTCATCTTCAGGGTAAAGATGCAAAGCTCAAAACATCGCTTCACCATCAGCCTTCACCACTTTTCCATTTTGAGAGGATTATCGTGGTTCTGCAGTGTAACTGATAGTAAGTTTGTGCTACAATTCACCGAAATGTAAAAGTGGGCAGCCACAGGGAACGAGATGCTGTTGTGGGACAGGGTGAGCTGGCTGATACTCACAGGAGTTCAGTGTGTCACAGTATCACTTACCAATGGGTCACCATCACTATCACTTTGGGGGACGTGCTTGGAGGATCCTCCTTCCTTGGCAGACGTGTGACCATCATAGCCCACATCCTCAGGTCGAAGTTGCAGTAGCGATGGCCACTCATGCTGCAGTGAGCCTGCATTCCACGGGTAGGTGTCTACGACCCACTTGGCAGGATCCTCCCATTGTGCTCTCTTGCCATATAACTGGAACATGGAAGAAGTTGCAGAAGGTAATTCGACCAGCTCACACAGTTACAAAGACAGAAATTGATGGAAAATCTCACCAGGTCTTGCAGCAACTTTGGAGAGAGAAACAGAACTAACATTTTGAGCCCAGTACGACTTATTCATCTTATTGATAAAAAAATAGAAATAATTGTGGATGCTGGAAATCAAGAAAAAAAACAGAAATTGCTGGAAAAACTCAGCAGGTTTGGAAGCATCGGTGGAGATCTGTGCTGTAACTATCCTGTGATTCTGTGACTGGAACAGGAGGAGGTCATTCACATGTTGGGCTTGTTCTGCAGTAAGTTTGGTCAAAGCTGATTTGTATCCAATCTACATTTACCAGTCTGGTTTGATCCTTGCTTCACAAAAATCTAACAACCTCAGGTCAATACTTTCCATTGGCTTTGAGCTGGATTTCAGGAGAAACAGTGTTACGGGATCCTATTCACTTTTTGCCTGAAGAAGCTGTTCCTGACATTATCTCTGAACTGCCCCTCTCTAACATTAAGGTTATGCTCATTGTTCTGGAGGTGCCACCTCTCAGGTCAACAATTAGATCAAGCCCCATCTCCTCCTGCAGGTAAATGTACCCATTTGTACAGCATTATCCTGCACAAATGTTCATGACAGCTCTCCAGTGTCTTTACCTCCATTTCACTTTTAATCACTATCAGTAAAAACAGATTATCTGGTCATTTATATTATTGCTAGTTACAGGAGGTTGCTTTTGCAAAATTAGTTGCAATGTTCACTCACATTTCCAACATTGACTGGACTTCCAAAGTACTCTGCATCCTGTTAAACACCTTGAGATGGTCTGGATCATGGAAGATATGCGTAAAGTAAATTATTTATTTCCTCTCCTAAAGTGTCCAACTGCCTGCCTCAAATAAGGGCTTACAATAAAGGATGAGGTATTCCCTACATTGGGAGATCCTATACTTTGTACTCTTAAGAGGTCCAATGTAGGATCTGTGATTGAGATGGTTGATGAAACTGGGGTGCAGCATATGGGACAGACATTGTGTAAGAAGGAGAGGGACATGGTCTAGATTAACCCCTTAACTATGCTCGTGACCCACAGGTTTCATCCCTCAACAGGAGAGACTACCATCTCAGTAGCCACACAGGTGAACAAGTAGACAGCAAAGGGTAAACAGAAATCTGCATCTTTTTCTATTTGCCAGTTCAGAAGCATAGGTATTTATCAGCCATGGAGTTGTTTTCTCAGAATGGAAAGAGGCCCTTCAGCCCATCATGTCTGCATCAGTCACGAAATACCCACTAACCCAATCCCATTTTTCAGCACTTTGCCTGTATGTTACGGCATTTCAAGTGCTCACCTAAATACTTTTTAAATGTCTTGAGCATTCCTGTCTCTACCACACTTTCAGGCACAGAGTTCCAGATAATTCACCACCCTCTGGGTGAAAATTTCTTCAGCAAATCCCCTTTAAACCTCCTGCTCCTTACTTTTAAACTCTGCCCCATGGTTACTGACCCCTCTACTAAGGAGAAATTCTTCTCCCTAACTACCCTGTCTATGCTCCTCAGAGCTTTGTACACCTCAGTCAGATCCCCTGAGCCTTCTCTGTTCTAAGTAAAACAGCCCCGGTCTGTCTGGTCTCTCTAGATTGTGCAATTGAGCTCCCACTTTTTGTACAAAGAAAAACATAGGATGCGGTCTCTTTGAATCTGTCTTTAAACAGATCCTGGGTTGAAGCAGATATCTTTGAATAAGGCAGTGGTTATGATTTTGTGTGTTATAGAGTTGGAAAGGACATGACACTGAAGGGACAATAAGAGGTTGTGAGTTGGACTACTGCAGTTGAGATGATGCCAGAACCCACAAGGTGGTGTAAATAAGTCAGAGAAGGGAGCTCTTAGGGACTCTGTGTTACTAAAACTCCTGTGACCTGAGCAGTAAGGGGTTCACAGATGTGTGCCTCATTGGTGGTAACGCTGTCTGGAAATTTCAGATGTAATGAGTCTCAAAACCCAAAGTAATTGCTTGGGAAGTGAGAAATCCTGCAAACAAAGGCTGAATTGGAAAGGCTGGAGTTGCATGTGGTTCCACATTTGTGTAGGAAAACAAAAATACAAAAAGAAAGAGCAGAATAATGAAGTAATGTGAATGCTTGTGACAGCACGAGCCATTTACTTATTGCAGTGACTATATAAAATGAATGTATTGTTTATTCAGATTATCCTTTAACTGTTAGTTAATGCATGAATGTTGTGCCCTGAACACACCCACCATTCAAATACCAATGGAAGAAGCTCATCCAACCCTGAAGAAAACAATGAACGTACATTTCTATAGCACCTTTCACCATATTAACACATCCAAAAGTGCTCCCCAGCCAAGTAAGAAATATATTAAGGAATTCTTTGCATTGTTTCCACTGTTGGAAAGTAGGAGACATAACAGCCAATTTTTGTACAGCAAGCTCCCACAAGCAACAATGAGATAAACGGGTAAGAGATAGTAGGAACTGCAGATGCTGGAGAATCTGAGATAACAAGGTGTAGAGCTGGATGAACACAGCAGGGCAAGCAGCATCAGAGGAGCAGGAAGGCTGACGTTTTGGGTCTAGACCCTTCTTCAGAAATAGGGGAGGGGAAGGGGGTTCTGAAATAAATAGGGAGAGAGGGGGAGGCGGATAGAAGATGGATAGAGGAGAAGATAGGTGGAGAGGAGACAGACAGGCCAAAGAGAGGGGGATGGAGCCAGTAAAGGTGAGTGTAGGTGGGGAGGTAGGGAGGAGATAGGTCAGTCCAGGGAGGACGGACAGGTCAATGGGGCGGGATGAGGTTAGTAGGTAGGAAATGGGGGTGCGGCTTGAGGTGGGAGGAGGGAATGGGTTTGAAGCTTCAAAATCTCCCCTCCCCCTACCGCATCCCAAAACCAGCCCAGCTCGTCCCCGCCTTCCTAACCTGTCCTTCCTCCCACCTATCCCCTCCTCCCACCTCAAGCTCCACCCCCTTCTCCTACCTACTAACCTCATCCTGTCCCCTTGACCTGTCCATCCTCCCTGGACTGACCTATCTCCTCCCTACCTCCCCACCTACACTCACCTTTACTGGCTCTATCCCCGCCTCTTTGACCTGTCTGTCTCCTCTCCACCTATCTTCTCCTCTATCCATCTTCTTTCTGCCTCCCCCTCTCTCCCTATTTATTTCAAAACCCCCTTCCCCTCCCCCATTTCTGAAGAAGGGTCTAGGCCCGAAACGTCAGTCTTCCTGCTCCTCTAATGCTGCTTGGCCTGCTATGTTCATCCAGCTCTACACCTTGTTATCTCAGATAAACGGGTAATCTGTTTTTAGTCCAGTTCAGGGTCAGTGAATTCCCAATTATAGAGTCATAGAGCCATACAGCATGGAAACACACCCTTTTGTCCAACTCCTCCATGCTGACCAAGTTTCCCAAATTAAACTAGTCCCATTTGCCTGCATTTGGCCCATATTCCTCTAAACCTTTCTTATTCAAGCACCAATCCAAATGTCTTTTAAATGTTGTAACTTTATCTGCATCTACCACTTCCTCTGGCAGTTCATTCCACATATGAACTACTCTCCGTGTGAAAAAGTTGCCCCTCAGGTCCCTTTTAAATATTTCCCCTCTCATCTTAAACAATCTAGTTTTGAATTTCCCTACCTTTGGGAAAAGACTTTTGCCATTCACCCTATCTATGCCCCCCATTATTTTAGAAACCTCTATAAGGTCACCCCTCAAACTCCCAAGCTCGAGTGAAAATAGTCCCAGCCTATCCAGCCTCTCCTTATACCTCAAACCCTCCATTTCCCTCAACATCCTTATGGACCTTTTCTGTACCCTCTCCAATGTAATAGCATTCATCCTATCGCAGGGCAACTAGAATTGTACACAGTACTCCAAAAGTGGTCTCACCAATGTCCTGTACAACTGCAACATGATTTTCCAACTCCTAGACCCAATGGTCTGAGCATTGAAGGCAAGTGTGCAAAATACCTTCTAAACTACCCTGTCAACCTGTGACGCCACTTTCAAGGAACCATATACCTGAACCCCTTGGTCTTTCAGTTCTACAACATTACCCAGGAAACTCCCATTAACTGTATAAGTCCTGCCCTTGTTTGCTTTACCAAAATGCAACACCTTGCATTTATCCAAATTAAACTCCTTTTGCCACTCCTCAGCCCATTGGCCAATTGACTAATCCCTTTGTAATCTTAGATAACTTTCTTCACCATCTGCTATACCACTAATTTTGGTGTCGTCTGCAAACTTACTAAACGTGCCTTCTATACTCTCATCCAAATCATTTATATAAATGATAATCAAAAGTGGACCCAGCACCAATCCCTGCTGAACACGACTGGTCACAGGCCTCTTGTCCAAAAAACAACCCTCCACCACCACACTCTGTCTCCTACCATGAAGCTAATTCTGTATCCCACTGGCAAGCTCATCATGAATTGTATGTGATCTAACTTTATTAACCAGCCTACCATGTGGAACCTTGTCAAAGGCCTCACTTAAGTCCACGTAGACAACGTCTGCCCTCATTTATCGTCTTGGTCGTATTTCAAAAAACTCAATCAAGTTTGTGACAACTACTGGATTCATGGTAAAGGTGACAGGATTGCAGGACTGTGGGTTGATACACAAAGACAGAACATAGAACTGTACAGCACAGGATGTTGTGCTGAACATGACATCAATGAAACTAATCCCTTCTGCTTGCCCTTGGTCCATATCCCTCCATTCCTTGCATTTACATGTGTTTATCTAAAAGTCTCTTAAATGTCCCTATCATATCTGCCTCCACAACCATCTGGAATGCAGTGCATTCCAGACTCCTACCAATCTGTGTAATCATGCCCCTCACATCTCCTTCAAACTTTCCCCCTCTAACCTTAAATGCATGGCCCCTAGTGTTAGACATTTAAACCCTGGGGAAAAGATTCTGACCGTGAACCCTATCTATGCCTCTCATAATGTTACAGACTTCTATCTGAGTTTTTCCAGCCTCTCCTTATACTCATACCCTCTAATCCAAGCAGCATCCTGCTTAAAAAAAACACGGAACAAAAACAGAAGTTGCTGGAAAAGCTCAGCAGGTCTGGCAGCATCTGTGAAGGATAAAACAGAATTAATGTTTCAGGTCCGGTGACCCTTCCTCAGAACGGGATGCTTCCTCAGCATCCTGTAAACCTCTTCTGCACCCTCTCCAAAGTCTCCACATCCTTCCTGTAATGTGGCGACCAGAACTCCACACAATACTCAAAAGGTGGCCTAACCAAAGTCTTATAAAGCTGCAACATGACATCCTGACTCTGGTACTCAATTCCCTAACCAATAAAGGCAAGCATGCCATATGCCTTCTGTAACATCCTATCTATTTGCGTGGCTACTTTCAGGGAGATATGGACTTGAACTCAAGATCCCTCTGTACATCAATGCTGTTCAGGGTCCTGCCATTAGCTGTATACTTTTCCTTAACATTTGACCTCCCAAAATGCAGCACCTCACACTTACCCAGATTAAACTCCATCGGCCATTTCTCCGCCCATATCTGCAACTGATCTATATCCCGCTGTATCCTTTGACAACCTTCCACACTATCCACAACTCAACTGATCTTTGTATCGCCTGCAAACTTACTAACGCACCCATTTACGTTTTCATCCAAGTCATTTATATATAACACAAACAGCAGAGGTTCCATGCAGATCCCTCTGGAACACCACTTGTCACAGATCTCCAGCCTGAAAAACACCCTTCCACCATCACCCTCTGTCTTGTATGGGTAAGCCAATTCTGAATCCACGCTGCCAAGTCACCATGAATCCCACTCATCTTAACCTTCTGGATGAGCCTACCATGAGGGACCTTGTCAAAAGCCTTATTAAAATCCATGTAAACAACATCCACTGCTCTACCCTCATCGATCGCCTCCTCAAAAAATTCAATGGCACAAAGCCATGCTGACTGTCCCTAATTAGGCCATGCTTTTTCAAATGTGCATAATCCTATCCCTAAGAATTCCCTCCAATAGCTTCCCAACCAAACTCAAGTGCGATTCACCGGTCTATAGTTTCCTGGATTATCCCTATTTCCCTTCCTGAACAGAGGAACAACATTAGCTCCTCGCCAGTCCTCAGGGATCTCTCCAGTAGCTGGCGAGGATATAAAGATCTTGGTCAAGGCCCCCACAATCTCCTCTCTTACCTCTCAATAACCTGGGGTAGGTACCATTGGGCGCTGGGGTCTTATCCACCTTAATACTCTTCAAAATACTCAACACTGTTTCTTTCTTAATTTCAAAATGCCCGAGAATATTAGCATGCTCCACACTAATGTCACTATCCTCCATATCCTTCCTGGACGAATACTGATGCAAAGTACTCATTTAGGGTCTCACCCACATTCTCTGCCTCCCAGCACAAGTTCCTTCCTTTATCCTTGTTTTTATCCTAGTCATCTTTTTGTATTTAATGTATGTATAGAGTGCCTTGGGATTCTCATTAACCCTACTTGCCAAGGTCATTTCATGGCCTCTTCTTGCTCTCCTAATTCCCTGCTTGAGTACTTTCCTGCTTTCCTAATATTCCTCACAGGCCTTGTCCAATTTTAGCTTCTTAAACCTTACATATGCTTCTTTTTTTTCCCTTTTAACTAAACTCACAACCTCCCTCATTATCCAAGGATCCCTTACCTTGCCATCCTTGTCCTTCCTTCTTACTGAAACATGCCGGTCCTGAACTCTCATCAGCAGATGTTTAAGCAGTTCCAACATGTCAAAAATGGACTTGCCTGATAACAGCTCCTCTCAATTAACACTCCTGCTCCTGCCTAATACTGATGTAATTTGCCCTCCTCATCAACTTAGTACCTTCCCACAATGTCCTGACTTATCCTCGTTCATAGGTATCTGAAAACTTGAGGAATTGTGATCACTGTTTCCAAAATGCCCTCCCACTGAAAGGTCAGTCACCTGGCCGGGATCATTAGCCAATACAAGGTCCAGTATGGCCCCTCCTTTAGTTGGACTATCCACTGTTTCAAGAAACCCTCTTGGATGAGCTTAACAAATTCTGCCCCATCTAAGCTCTTGCTCTAAGGAAGTCCCAGTCAATATTGGGAAAGTTAAAGTCACCCACAATTATGACTCCGTTTTTATTGCACCTTTCCATAATCTGCCTAAATATTTGTTCCTCAGTGTCTCGGTGGCTGTTGGGGGGCCCTATAGTATAATCCTATCAAAGTGATTGCACCCATCTTATTTGTGAGCTGTACCCATATTGCTTCAGTGGATGAGCCCTCCAGCATATCCTTTCTGAGTGCAGAAGTAACATTCTCCCTGATTAATAATGCAACTCCTTCACCTCTTTCACCTTCCTCTCTATCTCGTCTAAAACAGCAAAACTCTGGAACGTTGAGCAGGCAGTCCTGTTCCCCTCTCAACCAAGTCTCTGTAATGGCCACTGCATCATAGTCCCATGTACTGATCCAGGCTCTAAGCTCATCTGCCTTACCCGTAATACTGCCTGCATTGAAATAAACACACTTCACCCCTTTAGTACCAGAACCAGAAAAGAGAGTTTTGTGGAAACTAGCTACAGAAGCAGAGTGGAGCGAGATGATGTGAGATCCTGAGACACAGAGAGTTCCTGTGATCTGGAACACAATTCCTGAAAGGATGGCAGAAGTAGATTCACCAATAAATTTCCAAAAACAATAGGATCAGTACATGATTGGGGAAACATACAGGGCTGAAGAGAAGAGTGAGGGGCCAGGTAAGGAAATTGTGTGACTAATTGGATAGCTCTTAGAAAGAGTGTGCATGCACAAATAGTCTCCACTGATGCAGAGCAATTTGCTGATCAGTGAAGTCAGTAAATAATTGCTGGCCATTTACTCATGTTTGACCAAGGTATGCAATTACCATGAGCTGTCTGTTGGCGTGTTCTGAGAATGATACACAGACTTCCATTGGAGATATATGAATGTGGATTCAATATCTGAATGTACAAACACTGCAGAGCGAAGTTTCAGAGAGACATAATGGGAGACATTACCTGAAGGCCTTCACGAACTGCTTCCAGAAGGTATGGTATCAGAGAATAATTCCACAGGTCTGTGAACCAAACCCTGGAGCCATCTACATCCAAAGGGCATGACAGGAAGAGACGTGGACCTGGAGAACAGGACATTTAACAATTACTACACATGCTATCTGAGGATTTTCATTGACAAGCCTGTCCCCTATTGGAGACTGGGTGACCGTTTATGAATTTTAACTCACCAATAGTAACATCAGATGAACTGTGTGTCTCTAAGAAACCATTTAAATGCTGCCACACTTTGGGGATCCAGTCAATGATTTTCAAGAGGTCACTGTTGCGCATATTTCTATCGATTTCAGTCTCAATTAGCTTACGGCGCAAATATCGACCCAGGAATCCCTTCACAGGTTCGGTATGATTGGCACAGAGTACCCACCTGCACAGTGAAAACAGAAAAGGAGATCATCTGGGACAGTGCATGCACATTGTCATACAGTCATACAGCATGGAAACAGACCAGTCTGTCGCCTCTATTTTCATTCACTTTATTCTCCTGAAGGTGCTGGCTCGTAGAATTATATTGACCACGAATGTAGTATAAGAGGTAGGTCATTCAGCCCCTCACGCCTGTTTCATTATTAAATGAGATTGTGACTGACCTGTGGTCTAACCTCATATATCTGCCTTTGGCCTTTAATATCTTTGCTTCACAAAAAAAACCTCTCAGATGTAAAATTAACAACTGATCCAACATCTACTTTTTGTGGATGACATTTCCAAACCAGGATAGATTCTTGCCTAACAAGGGAATTAAAGTTCATTGGGGTAGGCAGGAAAGTGGAGCTGAGGCTACAGTTGGATCAGCCATCATCTAATTGACCAGTGAATCAGGCTTGAGGGGCTGAGTTCCTGGTTCATATATTTATATGTTTACTTTTGTTGGGGGCATTAGTCATATATCAAGGGGAGTGTTACTGTGATCCCAAAACCCAGGGAATTGTCACCTGCTTCCAACCCAAATATCCCTCTGGATTCTAATATGGAATTCCATCCCAAAACCCAGGGAATTGTCACCTACTTCCAACACAAATATCCCTCTGGATTCTAATATGGAATTCCATGCCAAACTATCCACTGGAACAGTGTGGAGTGCAGTTTGTACTTTGCATTTTTTTTATTTCAAGGTGGAGGTGGCTACAAGTGAAATAAAGTCTCCCTCCTCTCTGATGGCTCAATGGGTTTATACAATGACACTACTTTTAAGGGGAAAGGAAGTTGGAGGAGAAAAATGTTCATGGAAAATGTTTGACATCAGTCTTCGCAAGTACCTGAAATTGTGGTGGAGTTCCAAGTTAGCAGAGGAAGAGACAGCTTGGTTCATTGTTCCAATAACATAGGGACTGCAGAAATAAAAGAAAAATAATTACAAGTTATACCATCGCCACAAAAACCTCAGCTTCAAATCACCTTCAAAGCAGCCTTTTCACAGCAGAATATCCCCAGCCCAAATAACTGCACTCTCAGGGAAATAAATGTCTCTTGTTTTTTTCCATAAACGAGCAGGAGAGTTCATTTTCATGTAAAATGAAACAAAGAACTGCAGATGCTGGGAATCTGAAACAAACACAGAAATCGCTGGAGAAACTCAGCAGGTCTGGCAGCATTGGCGGAGCCAGTTCGGAAGAAAGGTCACAGGATCTGAAACGTTAACTCAGTTTCTCACTCCACAGATGCTGTTAGACCTGCTGAGTTTCTCCAGCACTTTCTGTTGTTGGTTCAGTTCACACATGTCCTGGTTACGATGGTGGCTGTCAACCACAATCACTCAGAAAAACACAAATAATTCTGTCATTATCACTTAGCTGTTTCTGGATGTTGCTGGGCACAACCATCTGCCTGTTCTGAGGAAGGGTCACTGGACCCAAAGTATTAATGCTGCCTTCTCTCCACAGATGCTGCCAGACCTACTGAGTTTTCCAACAATTTCTGATCTTGTTTCTGATTTCCAGCATCCTCAGTTATAGAATCATAGAGTCATACAGCACAGAAACAGACCCTTTGGTCCAACCAGTCCACATCGAACATAATCCCAAACTAAACTAATCCCACCTGCCTGCTGCTGGCCCATATCCCTCCAAACCTTTCCAATTCATGTATCCATCCAAATGTCTTTTAAACGTTGTAAATGTACCTGCGTCCACCACTTCCTCAGGAAGTTCATTCTGCACGTGAACCACTCTCTGTGTAAAATATTTGCCTCCCATGTCTTTTTTAAATCTCTCTCCTCTCACATAAAAAATGTGTCCCCTAGTTGTGAAATTTCCCATCCTAGGGAAAAGACAACTACATTAACCCTATCTATGCCCCTCATGATTTTATAAACTTCTATGAGGTCGCCTCTCAACCTCCTACACTCCAGTGAAAAAAGTCCCAGCCTATCCAGCCTCTCCTTATAACACAAGCCTTCCATACCTGGCAACATCCTGGTAAATCTCTTCTGAACTCTTTCCAGCGTCCCTCCTACAATTGGGCATTGTCTGCCATCCTTTTTTCACAATATAACTGTCATTACATGTCAAAAAGTACTTCATTAGCTGCAAACTGATCTTGGGATACTCTGAGGTTGCAAGAGGTAACCGAGAAATTTCCTTGCCCCTTAATGAGCCAGAACTTACCATTTGTGGTATCTACAATTGAGGAATCCATTGAAGATGTCACTCAATGAACCAATATGATGGAGGTTATCCAAGATTATCACTAAAGGCAGGTCAGAACCATTATCTGCAGTAGTGCACTGATCGGCCAGATTTGAGAGGTATTGGCGCAATTCCTTCCAAATGTTAAAAAAGACATATTTATTTCAGACAAGTTTCCACATTTTACAAGTTTATTTTTGTCTTGCCAATATTTTTCTGTTGAATCGCTTCGTTTCCAAACTGTTGCGATCCCCTACTGGGGTTAACATTGCACACACAACAATCACCAAGTGCTCATTACAATGTGTGAGTCTTCAAAATGGTCATCATCTTCCTCATCCAAGAGCTACATACATACAGCAGGGGGTTTCCCACAAGGGATCAGTAACAGGGAGCCCGCCAATTTTAAACAAAAAGCATTTATTTTCTCAGGATGTGGGGCATATTGGCAATGCTCACTGTGGCATCATCTTAAATTTAATTATCCTGATAATTCTGTTTAAATCCCTTCATGGCCTCATTTCTCTCGATCTCTGTAACCTTGTCCAGTCCCACATAAGAACTAGGAGCAGAAGGAGGCCATTCAGCCCCTCGAGCCTGCTCTGACATTTAATATGATCTTGGCTGATCTCACATCAACTCCACTTTCCTGCCCTCCCTCTATAACCCTTCAACCTGTTCCTAATTAAAAATCTGCCTTTCTCCTCATCTCTGCTTTGAACCTTCCTTGTCTCAGCCTAAAACTATGACCATACATCCTAGATTGCCCCACAAAGATCTTCTCACATCCCTTTAAACTCTAGCGAGTATAGGCCCAAGCTGCTCCAATTCTCCTCATAAGGCAAGCCTTTCATCGCTGGAACTAATCCAGTGGACTTTCTCTGAACCCTCTGAGATACCAGACCTTATCTACTTCTAAAGTGAAAGTCACCAGAAAGTCATCATTTGAGAGAGAGAGAAAGGACTAGTAGTGAATTTAACCTGAGGGTCACCATGCCTCAGGTGAGGGGTGAGATTGAGAAAGTGGGACCTTCAAAGTAACCCCAGCCAATGCAGGAATTGATTCTCTGCTGTTTTGTATCCAAATGACCAGCCAACTGAGCTAACTGACTCACCCTTCCCCCAACCCCAGTTCTAATCCCTTGAGCCATTGTAATTTTACTAGTTCCATCATCAATAGCCATGACCTCAGCTGCCTGAGCCCCACACTCAGAAATACGTGCCTATATCTCATCCTGCCTTCACTTCTCTCTCCTCTTTTAGATGTTCCTTAAAACCTCTCTCTGTCACCAAACATCTGACATCTCCTCACACAGACTGTCTAATCCCGTGAAGGGTTTTGGGGCATTTTACTATCACACTTTGAAAGAATGATGTGGATATAGGGACTGGAGTCACATGTAGGCAAGGCAGAACCCAGTAACCTTCATCAACATCTTTCTTGCTTGGTGCTCTTAAATTACCAGATAGATTGAGTTCAATTCTCTAAGTTCCCCTGGTAGGATTTGAACTCATGAACTGAGTTGCTAGCTTCAAAGAACCACATTACCACAGCTAATTAACATTCAACTACAAATCTGAAAGATTTTGAGGCTAACAGTGACATCTTTAGTACTAGCTCCATATTGAGCAGAAACTGTGCGACTGAAATACTTAACTGAATTGACTTGCGGAGCTATTGAGGAACAGAAGCTGATCCTATGGGAATAATACTTTGCCACCTGAGTTTCTCCTCACCTTGCTCGATTTGTGATCCACGTTAAAAGTGGCTATCGACCCATCAGCGAGCTCCCTTCCAGCCCTATTCACCAGGAATTCAGCAAGTTTATTGGCCAAATAGGTTTTGCCGGTCCCACTAGGCCCCGAGAGGATGATCCTTCGATGTTCTAGCAGGACGTTGAGGTAACGATGCATTAAGGGTTTTGGAATCAGTGTCTCAAACACCAAGCTGTCCACACTATTCTCTGCCACACCTGAAAAAGGGAGAACAAGACTTGGACTGGGAGCAAAATGATAAAGTGAATCTAATCCCTACCTTTGTTTCGTTATGACTCCTTAATTCAGACACGTTCCTGGCCAACATTCCCTGTCCTACCTCAACCCATCCAAACTTCTGCTGTCTGTGTCCTATCTCCACACCAAATCCTATCCCTCTCCACTCCAGCGCTCACTGACGTATACTGGATCCCTCTTAAATGATGTCTAATTTTTAAAATTTTCAATCTTGCTTTCAAATCCCTCCAGATCCTGCTCCTCCCGATCGCTGTTATCTTCTCAAGCCACACAGCTTTCTCAGATACCTGCACTTCTCCGATTCCAGCCTCTTGAGCATTCCCTGATTTCCATCGCTCCACCAATGGGGGCTTGTGCCTTCAGCTGCATACGCCCCACCTCTGGAATTCCCTCCATAAAACCTCTCTGACCATCCTCTCCTCTCTCCTTCTTTACAATGCTCCTTAGAAACGACCTGTTTGACCAAGCTTATGGTCACCTGGCCTACTATCTCTTTGTGTCACCAGGCGTCAACTGTGCTTTATAACACCCCTGTGACACACTTTAGGATGTTTTATTGCATCAAAGGCACTACATAACTGCAAGTTAGAAGCAAAATACTGGAGATCTGGATTAAAAGTAGAAAGTGCTGGAGAAATTCAACTGATCTGGCAGCATCTGGGATCTGTAAGAGAGACAGTCGATTCAAAACATTAACTGTTTCTCTCCACAGGTGCTGCTGGACCATCTGAGTTTCTCCCGCAACTTTGGTTTCTGTTATATAAATGTAAGTTGTTGTTGATGGGACATTGTGAATCGGTAACTCATTTTCACTCTCCTGCCTACTTTTCCATTCCAGATGGGCTGCGGGATTGGCTCCGGTTCCCTGAAAAAGTGAATGGATGTGTCTGCAGTTTTGAATGAGCTGCCCATTTGTTTGTTTGTTCTACCAACAAGTATTTACAAAACAGTGAGGCACAGAGTTAGTTGCACAGAGAGAGACACAGCACCTATCCATTGGGCAGTTATACTGGACGCCTTTTCTGGGCAGGTACTATCTGTCAAGTGTGAAGTTAAACCCAGGTCCCATTACCATCTCAGATGAATGCAGAGGGTGCTGGGGTCAATATCAATCCCTCACCTTTTTAAAAGCAATTATTTGGTCATTAACTGAACATTGCTTGTGGGAGCTTGCTGTGTGAAAACTGGCTGCCTTGTCTCGGACATTCCTATAGCCTCATCTTGCAGGTACACAGCAGCAAACTACTTATTGAAATTGAACAACAATGGTAGGGTTTAAAATAATTCTCTGAAAGAAGTGCAAAGCAGCTCTGCTGTTGGTTTCAGGGAACAATATTATTAACACATCTGTTGAGGGCATTTGCTGAAGGATTGGTATTCAGCACTGACCTTTCTCTGGGTGAGCACTCGTTAACGAAAAAATGCATCCCATCAAGGTGAGGTATCCCTGTCTCCCAAATTGGTCTTTGTGTCAAAGACTTTAGCTCCTTTATGTCAGGGATGAATGGATGTTATCCGGGGCTACTGATTGTGAAAATGACTTCTGTTCCTTAATTTGAATACCAGACAGCACTCATCCTGAGATAACAAGGTGTAGAGCTGGATGAACACAGCAGGCCAAGCAGCATCATAGGAGCAGGAAGGCTGACGTTTCGGGCCTAGACCCTTCTTCAGCACTCATCCTGTGTCCTTGTTGGAATGTCCTTAATTGTCCATTGTTAATACAGTCATTGAGATCTACAACCAGAAAAAGGCCCTTCAGCCCATCAAGTCTGTGCCAGTCAAAAACAACCAGCTAACTATTCTAATCCCATTATCCAGCACTCAGCCCATAGCCTTGTAAGCTTTGGCATTGTAAGTGCACATCTAAGATATAATTCATGATATCAGCTCAGTATAAGCAGCATCAAAGATTACAGCATTGTATATAAACTGCGTGAAACTCTGTATCGATGAAGAAGCAGCAAGGAAGAGATTGCTGGGCCCCTTGTTGAGGTATTTGTGTCATCAATGGCCACAGGTGAGGTGTCGGAAGACTGAAGGCTGGCTAACGTGATGCCACTATTTAAGAAAGGCTGTAGAGTGAGACTTACATCAGTGGTGGGTAAGTTGTTGGAGGGGATTCTGAGGGACAGGATTTACATGCATTTGGAAAGACAAGAAATTATTTGGGGAGAGTCAACATGGCTTTGTGCATGTGACAATGTGTCTCACTAACTTGATTGAGTTTTTTGAAGAAGTAACAAAGAAGATTGAAGAAGACAGAGCAGTAGATATTGTTTATATGGACTTCAGCAAAGTGTTTGAAAGGCAAAAATAAAAACAGAAATTGCTGGAAAAGCTCAGTAGGTCTGGCAGCATCTGTAGAGAAAAAGCAGAGTTAAAGTTTCAGGTCCAGTGACTCTGTCAGAAATGTTTGACAAGTTTGGACTGGTTACAACAAAATTGGTGGTATGATGGACAGTAAAAAAGATTCTCTCAGAGTACAAGGGGATCTTGATCACATTAGCCAATGAGGCTGAGAAGTGGCAGATAGAGTTTAATTTAGACAAATGTAAGGTGCTGCATTTTGATAAAACAAATCAGTGCAGGACTTTTACAGTTAATAGTAGGGTCCTGGGGAGTGTTGCCGAACAAAGAGGCCTAGGGGTACAGGTGTATTGTTCCTTGAAAGTGGAGTCGCAGGTAGATAGGATAGTGAAGAAGGCATTTGGCACACTTGCCTTCATTGGCTGGAACATTGAGTATAGGAGTTGGAAATATAGGATTTTTGGCATATTGCATTTAATTCTGCTCGCCCTGCCTAGGAAAGCTGTTGCCGAGACCGGAGGGTCTGAGCTATGGAAGAGGCTGGATAGGCTGGGGCTTTTTCCCTGGAGTGTCACAGACTGAGGGGTGACCATATAAAGGTTTAATAAAATCATGAGGGGCATGGATAGGGTGAAAAGCCAAGATCTTTTTTCCAGGGTGAAGGAGCCCAAAACTAGAGGGGCATAGGTTTAAAGTGAGAGGGGAAAGATTTTAAAGGGACCTAAGAAGCAACTTTTTCACGCAGAGGGTGGTGTGAGGCTGGTACGATTACAACATTTGAAAGGTATCTGAGTTGTTATATAAATAGGAAGGGTTTAGAGGGATTTGGGCCAAATGCTGGCAAGTGGGACTCGGTCAGATTGGGATGTCTGGTCAGCATGGCCGAGTTGGACCGAAGGGTCTGTTTCTGTGCTGTATAACTCTATGACTCTAAAAAGTTTCCTGGGTCACCAGTTCAGATTGCCTACCCGTTAGTGAAATAATAAATACTGCTTGATGTTTGAATGAAAGGTCAAGTATTGGTTTGGAATACTCTATCAGAATTGGTTACCACAGTAACTGTACAGTCTTTTGGGGCAGCCTGAGATTGTGAAAGGTGCTGCATAAGTGGAATTTCTCTTTAACAAACTCCATTCCAGTCTATCCACTCTTGAAACACAGAAGATTGTAAAGTACCTTTTAGATTCACAGCAATGATGTTGCTTTCTCCAACCAGGTAGCCACAGGGCAGTAGCTCTGGCAGTTCCAAGTTACACGCTCTCACCACATCCCCTATATTGTAGCTGAGAATGCTGTCAGATGACAGACCAAGGCTTGTGCTGGGGTCCAAATGGAAAATATACTCCTACATCATCAAGTGAAAAGATAAAGTTCATTAATTTAATTGAATAGCATTGTGTGTTGAGCTACAGCACATGGACTGCAGCAGTTCATGAAGGCAGCTCATCATCACCTTCTCAAAGGTGTACTAGGGACAAACAATAAATGCTGGGCCCAGCCAGGGATGTCCACATCCTGAGAAGGAATGAATTCAAAAAAAGAGACTGCCTTGCTCTTGGCTGTGGACATTGCAAGGCCAGGGTTAATTGTTGATCCCTAACTGACTTCAGAAGGGAATGATGAGCCTCTGCTTTAAAGAGAAATGTTCGATACCACAGACCCTTTAGTTTGCAAACAAAAACACTGAACTGAAGATGCTGAAAATCTGGAACAAAAAACACAAATTGCTGGAGAAGCTCAGCAGGTCTGACAGCTTCTGTGGAGAGAGAAACAGAATTAATGCTTCGAGTCCAAATGACCCTTCTCCAGAACAGCCCTTAGTTAACCTGCACTGAGGCCAAGAACCACACACAGGGAAACCAAGTCAGGCTGGTTACTGCCAGATATTTGTGAGCCAGTTGTATTTTCTCACAGCCTGACAGAGTCTGATAGAGTCCAGAAGAGGCCCTTCAGCCCATTGAATCTGTGCCGACAAAAACTACCCTAAACCTACACTAATCCCTCTCTCCAGCACTTGGCCCAGCACCTTGAATGCAGTGAAACTAAGTGCCCATCCATGTACTTTTTAAAGGTTATGGAGTTTCCAGTTGTCAACTTCCCTCCCAGGCAGTGCCTTCCAGACCCCCACCACTCTCTGGGTGATAAAACAACTACACTACTCTCATCTACACACCTGGTCACCTCCTTGAGAAATTCAAGCAAACCCCTGTGATTTCCTCCCGTGCCTCCCACAACAGTGTGGGATACAACTCATCCAGACCTGAAGTTTTTGTCCACTTTTCAACTTGCCAAAACCTCCAATACCTTCTCACTCCCTACATCAAACTGCTCAAGAACCTCACAGGCCTTTTCCCAAATGCAGAACCTGCATCCTCCTTCTCCCATGTGAAGACAGATGTGAAATATTTGTTTCACATTCTACCAAGACATCCAGTTCCATGTGCAGATTTCCCTGTTGATCCCTAGTAGGACCCACTCTTTCCCTGGTTATTCTCTTCCCTCTGATATACTTGTTGAATGTATTGGCATTCTTCCTAATCTAATCCACTAATGTTTTCTCATGCTCCTTCTTTGTTCTCCTAGCTGCTTTCTTAAGATCCCCTCTGCACATTCTACATTCCACTAGTGCCTCTGTTGATTTGCTCCCTCTGTCCTGTTGTGTTTCTCACTTTCTCTTTTCATCCATTCCTAAATATTCCTGGGCATCCAGGGTCTCTGTGTTTGTCGCTCGTACATTTCACCCTGAACCCTTCCCACTGTTCTGCTGTAGATTTATCCTCAATTAGCTGTTCTCAGTCTACTTTAGACAGATCCTGCCTTATTTTAATCAAATCTGCCTTTCCCCAAAATGCTTTCTTCCATCTCCATAATAAACTTAACCCTTATGGTGTTGTGCTCACTAACCACTAAGATGGTCTCCCAATGCCATACTGAACACCTGTCCATACTTAAAAAATTATATGGACTGCATACATATTTATATAGAAAGCTCTCATGTATACATTTCAAGAAATCTGCTCCCTCTCAACCCTTTGCACTGTGGCTATCCAGATTAATGTTGGGTTGTTGAAATCCCCTCATATACTTAACTTGTTATTGTTTTTACTCACTTCAGAGGATTATTTACCTATATGCTCCTCTATTGCCTGCTGACAGTCTGGAGGCGCACTATACACTCCCAGTAATGTGACTGTCCTGTACATTCCTAAACCATCCCCACAAAGCCTCACTTGAAGACCCTTCCAAGATGTTCCTCCCACATAACACCAGGGGAGCCCAGGTCTGGTGACGGGGCTATCATCAGAGATGTGTCTGGCGCACAGTGAGTTCAGTCTGGGGAATGTGTTGGGAATTTTCATACACACACTTTACTGAAGAATGTTCTATCCACCCATTTTAACGTTGCATATGAACAGGTCTCTCCCACTGAATTCCGAGTTTCCACCACTGAGCACCTTCAATGTAGTAAAGTCTGATTGTTGGGTTAATGTGTCAGGAAGGCAGGGTGTGTTGAAAAGAAGACCACATCGGAGAGTGGGCCTTATGGATCCTGACCGTTAGATCCAAACTCCCATGGGCTGAGGCTTCCCTTCTGGGACTGTCCCCTCGAAGCACTTGATGTTGTAAAGTTTGTGTTGGAGAAACAGAGGAGTTCTGAGCAGATGGAATATTGCCCAGTTGTGCAAGATGCTTACCTTAAACAATCGACGAATTACACCATCAAGAACATCCCACTTTGTCTTTCCACTGACTCCTAACGAACCTATCAGGTACTGAGGAGACTTTTCATCCTGTAAGGTAAAATATCACACACAATAATCACAGCTATTTTAGCACAAATAGTTACAAATGCAAAAAAAACACCATGTAACACACTTCAGCTCCCCTGCCCAGTTAAACTTTCAGACATTTGCTGCAGTATCATCTTTTTAAGGCTCAGTGTCAAATTTTGATGGTTAACCCTTCCGCAAAGGGGTGCAGGAAGATTTCTTCCTTAGTGGCGCTACACAAATGTAAGTTGCTGTGCTCTGTCTGCTAACGCCACGTCCTAAAAACAAGGTTTAAACCAGACACTGGTTTTCTGCCTGGCTCTGTTCGGGGAACAGCAAAGAGTAAAAGTGGATGTCCATGTGTCCTGACCAACATTCCACCGGGACAAACGATCCAATCACTCAGATTCTCTCCTGAAGAGCTGTGGTTCAGTGAGAAAAGGCAACATGAAATGTTTGGGATATCCTGAGCAATGAAAGTCCCGCAACAACACCACAGCCTGATCTTATTTGCTGTAACGATCTGTCTTTCGGAAAGCTAGTTACTGTACGAAGCTTGCCTTGCAATCCTTGTTCACACTGATAAAGGAACATCTCTTGAAAATGTTGCAACATATCTTAAATAGGATCACAGTATCATGGAGTGCAGAGGGAGGAGGTTCGGGCCATCATGTCTGTGACAGCACCTTTAAAAGCTATCCACTTGTTCTGAAGGGGATCATTTACAGTGAGCTTGGTTGGTCAGGAAACCAGATATTGCAGACCTGGGCAGAGATGGAGGAATAATGCCCCATAACCCAAGGTGTCCAATCAGGAAATTTGCTCCACATATCCATCGTAGCAGAACAAAACTCAGTTTGAAAGGTCCAAGGAATATTAACCCAGTGCTGGTCATGGTACAGCTCAGGTGACAAAACAGATTTGAGGGGCTGAATGGCCCTCTCTATATTACCACATTACTAAAATATTTCACTAAGATAATTTTTGGAAAACGCATCTCCCATCCTATCTCTGTCTCCTTTGGGATTCAACCCCCACCACCGCCCAACAACATACAAATCCTGCAGTTGTCCCTTTACCTTAGTTCGTTTGAGTTGTTTGTTCAGGCAAATCATTATTCGCACACTACAGCTCTCCTTACGAAATGAGCCATCAGATCCTTCATCAAGCAAACTGTCTGGAAAAGGTAAAAAGTAAATCATCTTACTTCCAGTGAAAATGAATTGGCTCTGACTCAGATCTTTATAAATTCAGGCAGTGGGGAACATGACTGGGGTTCAGTGAGGAGGCAGTGAGCATGCGGAAAGGGGTCAGTGAGCACGCGGTAAGGGGTCAGTGAGCACGCGGTGAGGGGTCAGTGACCACGCGGTGAGGGGTCAGTGAGCACACGGTAAGGGGGTCAGTGATGACGCGGTGAGGGGTCAGTGAGGGGTCAGTGAACACGCGGTAAGGGGGTCAGTGATGACGCGGTGAGGGGTCAGTGACTACACAGTGAGGGGTCAGTGA